GAGCGGCTGGCAGGGCACTACTCCCGGCACACCAGCCTTGCTGTCAGTGAGGGAAGATGGGCACCGATGAATTCTGCACCCATCATACGGGACCGAGGCTGTATTTTTCCCCATGCCCCTGATACCTCCCCCAAGGTACCAAATCTGAGCGAATTGGGGCACCAGAGAGCCCAACCCTGCAGCTGCCTCCACACCATCACCCCCGGTGAAACCACCAGACCCATCTAGCCCAGCTTATCTTGCAAGATCTAACAGCAAGAGCAAACACCAGCAGCTTTCCAACTCCAAGCTCAAGTTTCTTGCCAATAAGAACTGTTAAAAAAACAACTTATTTTGCTGTTTCTTTCTATGGCAATTATTCACAGGGCTTTTCTTAAGCATCATACAACTTCCATGCCCCTGCGATTTACATTTCAAATTTAAGATGGTATTACAGCTTGGTACTCATTTTACATCTCCATCAGGTAGGGAGAGGAGTGAAGACTTCATTAGCACAGTTACCAGAAGCATTGGCCAAGAAGGTGTCCTGTTCTCCTAAGTTTTTCCAAACTTGCTCTCTCCGCTGGCTGCTGTTTTGCAGTGACAGCTCCCACAGAAGGAGCTCCCCAGACACGAGGCTTCCCCTGAGCACTCACTATGTTGCTGCCCTCAAGCTTTTTGGGACAATGGCTAATTTTGATCAACTGCTTCAGGATTTGATTTGATTCCAGCACAGTGGCTTATAACACCAGAAGGCTTTCCAGTTCTGGGAGGGTTAAAGATGATTTTATGCTCGGTGGAGAACATTCAGCTTGTAGGACAGACGTATTACAGTGATGGGGCCCCTCTCTGCAGCCGAGAAGTTCAAAAAGCTGTTTGAGCTCAGATGCCTCTGATGGTGATTTACATTGGCCCTGTAGGTTTTCCTTCACACAATTTCAACACAGCTAGCCTCAGTGTACAATAAAGGGTTTAACAACCTTAGCACAGCCTGTTAAGGGGTTTAACAACCAACCACACAAACACCCAAGGAAATAATTCCAGCTTGTTTCTTGGTCCAGCATTGGTGCTTTCTGGGTTTATTCTCTTCTACAGCAAGGGTGGTGGTTTTATTTTGTTTTTTCCACACCTAATCTTCATAAATCTATAGTTCAGACTCACACCTTGATCTGAAATAGGGTGAAGTCACATTGCTGGTGCTGGATTAAGAGGTTTGGTATTTAATAGATTCAAATCTGTGTCCTACTTCTAATGGACTCAATGAAGAAACTGATTCTCAGTCCCTTTACATCCATTCTCGGTCTTCATATAGCTCATTTTGCTCACACCTACTTTCAGCCTCACACATATTGCAAAGTAAAGTGCTACATCTCATTTTTCTATGGCAGAACTTTTCTTCCAGTGCAGTTTTGTGAAAGCTAGTAGACCTTCTAGAAGTTTAGCATCTTTCAGATCTTGGGAAACAGTCCATTCATATCAGGTCAGCTGCATTAATTCCTGCACAGGAGATCAAATTAAAACGAGCAGCGTTTTGTCAGAGTGGGAAACAGGAGGCCTGTCTTGAGTATGGCAAGAAACCACAGTACTCTGCTGCGAGCTGAGCTGCACAGCATGTCAGTCAAACTGGATCTCCCGCAACTGCTTTTAAAGCTGTTCCATTTTTCAGCTAGTGCCTCTAGAAAAATGATGCTTTAAAGTATGGAGAATAACAACACAGTTATGTATTTATTTGGAGGGACAAGCTTGCAGTCTAAATAAACCCTCATTGCCAAGATGACTTTTATTAATATGTTTAATGGAAACCTTCCTTTTTTGGCTTTTTTTTAGCTTAAAATTCTTTGTCCAATTCAGTATTTTGCTGCAATAGTGAAAAACGTTTACTGTATCACTGGACTCTGAAAGTCAGATGCACGTTAATAGAAAAGGCCATAGCAGAGGGGAGACATTACCCAATATGGAAGGAAAATGAAAACTACTCCTAACATATTACAATCTCAGTGCAAGTAATGGCTAGAAGAATCTTGCCTTAAAAACACTGACACCATTTTTTTCCCAGCTTTAAATCCTCTGCTGCAATTTACCCTTCACAAGGGCTGTACGCAATTTTCAGTCACCATATTTTATGATAAGCATTTGTTCAGCAACCACAATGGCCGCTCCAGACAGTGCTGGGAGAATATAAATCTAAAAGGGTGTTAGGGAATCAATCATTTCCCTGTGGAAATGTATATTTATGCCCAGAGACATGCATGGTGTGCTCAAAGTTCACCAGAGTGATTACAGCCCTGAGAGCACTATCACCATGTTCACAGCTTTGCATTAGACTGAGCCACCACCTACTGTCACTTGAGGTCTTTCCACTTGCGTTGGTCTGGAAGCCTAGGTGGAAATACTCACTAACTCGTGGTAAAACAGTTTCTGACCTTGAGTACCTTATTAACTCACAATCATCCAGGGACATATCATGCCCAATCTTTCAGAGCTGCCAAGAATCTAAAGTTGAAATCACCGGCTCCTAAGCTAATGGAAAGTTTACTTACCTTGGTGGTTCAGCACAGCTTTTGCTGTGGAGGGAGGGAGGGAGATGGTGAAGAGGAGATAACCCACCCCTCCTCATCCCTGTTAGATGGATACTTGTGCTCAGCAGGGCTGGCAGGAGCACGCAAAGGGTCCCCACCAGGGTCTTTCACAGGGCTGTACTAAAACACGCCACGATGCAACTGAGCATCGCAGCACTACTCCGGTAGTTTGAAAGAGCACTGCAGCAGACTTGGAGAAGCCCACAGGAGCCGTACTGTGAACAAGGAACAGCTAACCCTGGCTGGTGCAGTCATTTTCCCCTTCTAGCTGAGACTGAATCTTTCCCCCCCCCCCTCTAGTTGAGACTGAATCTATCCCCTGAAAGCTCCCCAAACTCAGAGCAGAGCCGGGACACCCCTGCCAGCCCATCCCGCTGCTGTGGAGCGCAGCACTTACGTAGTGCCCTCCCGCGGGCACGCTCTCCAGGGCCCCGTTGGTGGACTCGGGGGGTTTGCCGGCAGCGATGCTCTTGTCCTGCGGCTTCCCCTCCTCCTTCCCGCTGCCGCCCTGGCCTGGCAGCGCCACCTCCCCAACGCCCAGCGCTTCGGCTTTGTACTTCTTCACAAAGTCTTCCATCAGCTTCAGCTCGCCCTCCGCGAGGCCGCAGCACTGGGATGGGTCCTGGTCATACAGTGGGAGTTGTCTCATCAGCTGCCGCCGGCGATAGTATGCCCCATCCGTCCCCGCCACCGGCTGCATCTCCTTTGGGATCAGCTCCATGTACTGCATGGCCTGGGATGGAGAGAGCACTGACAGTTACTCTGAGCTGCCTTCGGCAGGGAAGCACAAACTTTCTTTGTGCAGGTGCTTTGCAAACAAATATTCTGCTTGTGTTATGGAGTAGTGGCAGAAAACGCACCTTCTCCTCCTTTCCCCTTTGAGTCGTTCTAACCTATGCTTCAGAAATAAAAGGCTGAACTTACTCAGATGCAAGTAGCAGCCAGGCTATTGTTAATCACTTCATCCTCAGAAGACAGGTTGGGTAGGTTTTTTTTGAGGATTTTTGGTTTTCCTTTTAAAAAAATAGATACCAGACTCCCCAGGAAGCAAAGCAGCAAAGACTTGCTTCACTAGTTTGCACCCAAATCCCAACACACCCTCCCTCGCCAGCACTAGCATGCCACTATGCCAGGTAATTTCACAACAAGGCTGCTGAAAAGACCAGAAACCCATAAGCATCAAAACCTGAGACCAGCCAGCGTCCCACTGCCTCGTGCCAGGACAGGGAGAGCTCCGGGGAGCAGGTCAGAGGCTGCACCAAGAGCACCCCATAGCCCTCACGGGCTGCATGCAGCATAACTTACAGAAAAAGAACCCCTTTTATAAATTAAAAAGTAATCTTAATACAAGAAAAAGTAGTCAGATAGCAGTTGAGTCTGTATGTAACACTGACAGCCACCCAATTCTACCCAACTGTTGATTTTGCAGTAAAGGGAAGGTGTTTGGTCACTGATGCCCTGCAACATGGAAAGTAAATGCCAAGAAACTATCCAAAGTCTCCTACTCAACTGGCCACTATCTTAAAAGCAGATTAAATCATGATCTTGCAAGAGGTCTGTCCCACACTGAATTAGCATTTGCAGGACAGTGGGGTCTGTACAGTTAACTTCTTCTGGCCTGGTGCTAAGGGGAAGGGAGTTTCCCACTCAAGGCATTTTTCCTATTGTAGTGTGAAGAGCTAAGGGGCAGCCAGTTGGCTCTCTGCCATTCTGTTTTAAAGACCAGCATCCAGCTGTATTAGATTTGTTTCTTACTTGGTCAGCATTTGAAAACTGAATTTTAAAAAAATTAGAAGTGATTAACTGTTTACTGTACATAGTCTGGTTCAGTATGGCCTTTGAAATACAGAAAGGTTTGCACAACACTGAACAACTCATCACATCTGTAAAAACTTCAAAGTCAGCTTGCACCTCAGCTACTTTCAGCCAGATAGCAGCATTGCAGGGCAAGATTCCTGCCTGAAGATTTGCAACAGCAATAGCTAAGTGATTTAATGGAGGCAGGGCTTCTTCCCCATTTCTTGGAGTGCATATTAACATCGCTGCACATTATGATATTAGACATCACCACTCAGTATATTGTGCCTCTGTGCAATGGCAAGACTGATATCCAGAAGTTTACTGGGGGAGGGCTGTCAGCCCGTGGGAGAAGGTGCTGCTCAGGAATAGCTGGTTAGAGAGCTGCGGGATGCTGCATAAGTGATCTGGTGCACAGATGGCTTTCGCAGAAGTAAGAAATCCTAATAGGAACTACAGAAGCAAAAGACAAGAACTCCCTGACAGCTCCTCCCAGGCCTCACACAGGCACTGCCCCACAAAATAAGGATACTGTCAGTGGTATCTGACAACTGCAAAGAGCAGCAACCAAAGCCTCGATGCTGTACGACCATGAACATTAAGACAGCGTATGCTATGCAGTCTGCGCTGGCTTGGTTCAGCCACTGCAAAAGCACTAGCAGAGTAGTAACGTGGTGGGATCTTAATGGAAGAAATTCTTAATCCACTACAAGCATGCCAAGACTAATGAACACTTATACCAGAGCTACAAGAATAGCACCGTGCCAGCACATGTATCTGAAGCATCTTGTTCCACTCCAGTGCCAGACTCTCCATTGCCAATACAAAATGTCTGTGCTGAAAGTGAGAGAAAAGCAAAGACTCAAGCCTTTAGGAGTACAGTTGGACTGCTCAGTGGCAGGTTTCAATATCTGCCCAGACACGTGGTGGGATTTCACTCCCTGATCAAGGGAATGCTTAAAGTTATAATTGCAGATGTCATAAAATGCGTCCAGAGAATAGATCAGGGAAAAAAGTTTTTGGCGTCAGGCTGAATTAACATGAAGGATAAAGAGTTGTTTCTTCTGCTGCTACCATTAATTATTACAGTCAAATGCTTTACTATGTTGCCTTAGCGCAGATAATTTTGAGGAAAAGCATTTTAAGTTTTCACTGTTAACTACTGGATTTTGGAGATATTTTGTAATCTGTCCTTTTCACTTTCCCCAAGGACCCTGAATATCTACTTCATAACTTCTCCAGGCACAGCTTAATGAAAACACGCTCTGAACTTTCTCCTACTATTGGACCATCCACTTCAGGACAACAATATTAAAAACAATCCCAAGTTTCCAGCCTGCCTTCAGAAGGAAATCACTGGAGTGAGTCAGTTATGCACTAAAAGCTTTTTGGCCCAAATCCCTTTTAAACTATCCCGAGAAAGGCTGACATCTAGCATTTCTCCTAAAAGTTTGTCAAGTTGATCTTCGAGCCAAAATTTATCAAGGTTGTCTTCAAAGCTCCTGCACATTGTTTACTTGAACCAAGGTATCTGCCAGCCTGTTCAGGCACTATGAAGAGTTCAAAAGCTTTCATGAAGCACATGCTGCTGAGCTGCCCCCTCACCAGCGCTGCAGGGATGGAGTTTGCTGCTGCGGGTGGGGGAGCTGCTGGGCTCCCCAGTGCCCCCACTGCACGGGGCTGCATTCAGGATCACCCCAAACACACACTCGCAAGGGGGCATGGTTGGGGTTCAGCCCCATAGAAGAAGAAAGCAGCCCAGGAGCTGCAGAGTTTGGGCATCCTTCACAGCAAGGAGCTGACCCTGCCCCAAGGTGCCGGCAGCACCGCGCTGCAGCCAGCTTGTGGAGCAGTGAAACCCAGGTTTCTGATAAATCCCGGGCTGGGCAGCATGCTTAATGAATCAGGCTGGGCGGGAAGAGCGCCAGCATTGTTCTCCCCGTCCCTCACAAGCTCCCAGATTCCCCCTGGGACCTGCGGAAGGCAAACAGTGGTTAAACAAACATTCCTGCTGGGCCAGCTCCTACCAAAGAAAAGAAGGAAGAGGCAGCTGTGAGCAGCAGCTCTGTTTAAACAGCCAGGCAGTCGGATACATGGGGGTCTCGGTCCCTCATTAAAGCCCAGTGGTCTGCTCCAATTAGCACCACAGGCCCCAGTTGCGTTCCCAGTACAGGCTGCATGCCACCCCCAGTCAGCCTTTCCAAGGGGGTGATGGCAACTGAGTTTTAAGAAGAAATAATCAGTCTGCCTCTCAGTGTGCAGCTGCAATTTCACATTTGTTTCCCCAATTCTTTTAAAAAATCTGGTTGCAATTTTCAGCAGCTTTAAACTATTTGTTTAATTTGAAGAGCAAAAGCTGTCCACTAATGACAGTGTAACATGTAATGTTTTTAGTACACCACCACAGTTAAAAGCCAGTTAAATGCTTTCCCTCAAGAAGTGCTCTGCTGGCTAACACTTCCACACACCGAAAACCACTTCCATTCGTTCCCACATGGCAGTATTGCTCGCCCGGACAGAAACCAGGCGCAGGAGGGAAGGAGGGGCTGGGGGATTGTTTTCAGATCCAGCCCTCAGCATGGGACCACACTCATCTCCTCTTTTTACCTCAAGTTCTCTTTACAAAACCTAAACAAATATTTTTATTTGGATCAGACTGTTTAGCTGTAAGCAAAAAAAAATCCCAGCTCCAGTGCTGAATCTGGGATGGGTTCCTCTGGCAGCAGTGATGGGCAGAGTTCATGCCCACGCTGGCAGGAGCTGCGGACAGGGTGCTCCCAGCCGCAGAGCTCACCTTAGCTCTCCTCCAGGCTAGCACACCTTGGCACAATGAGCTTTCCCACTCCTGTTCCCTGAGGGAGCAAGCTCAAGTCTGCTGGGGACAGGGACGGGCTGCTGCTGCGTTTCGGCAGAGGTGGTGGGAGGGTGCCTGGGCACAGGGGCTCTGAGCCCACTGCTCTGCTCCGTTGCCCTGGGCTGCTGCTGGAGGATGTTTTCTACTGAAGCAATGCCCCTCTGCAAGTGGGAGATAGGAGCCCCGAGGCACAGCAGCCTGACTGCCCACCCAGCATCGACTGCCCACCACAAGGAGAATTTAAACCCCCTTTCCCCCCTCCTCCACTTATTCAGCAAATCTGAGCCGAAGTTAAAGACAACAGCATTACAAAGACGTTAAGCCACGAAGTAAGCACTGTCAACACACTTGGCATTCCTGCGGATGCTTGTCTGGGACCAAGGTGATGCAGCATTCGACAGGAAGCAAGGCTGCGTTCCGGGGAGGTTTAGGGCCATTCTGTGATTTAGAGGCACAAGTGAGCACTAGTTGCACTCCTGGTTAATAAACCTGAGATGCCAGGCTTATTTTAAGTCCAAGATTTTAATGACTACCTCAGCAAGCAAAGAAAATAATTACTGTATTAAAGACAACAGTTATTCTGCCATTATCATTAATGGCCATTTCCATAACAGAGTAATTTACAAACACAGCACTGGATTTAGATGCAGCATTACTTCTTTCTACATTGATTTAATTTCTATGCTTTTGAGACAGACTGAAGCATAGTTTCCTGAAGTGTTTGCTGAAAAGACCTCCAGGTTAGTGGCAGTGTCCCAGCTAGCTACCTCCACCTGTGCTGGCTGGTTTTGGGACAGGCTCACACCCAGATTTGTAAGAGATCAGACTCAACAAGCAAGGCAGGACCCCCCCTCTCCAACAGGGATGTCAGAGTCCAGGGCGACTCCTCCTGCCCAAATAAACCACCCAAATAGCTTGTCTCCACTGTTTCTCCCAGAAGCCCAGTCCAGACCCATGTTGTTTTAGAAGCATGGAGACAGGTCTCTGGAGTTAACTCTTGTCCTTGTGCATGTCCCACAGCTTGCACAGCTTTCTGCCTCCTTGGTGCCCTCCCGGGGGTGTTTAGGGAAAGGATCAAATCCCAGCCCAGACACCCCAAGGCGGCCTGGAATAATTGCTCCCGCATCCAGCCTGGGGTTTTGGAGCATGCAAACGCCTGCGTGGGCTACACAGGCGTTGTACAACTGGCAGGACAGCAGAGATGGGATCTCTCCTCAGCAATGTTTTTATTGGACATGAGCTTTACCAAAGTAGTGAGCTTTCTAGTTGTAAAACCCATTAAGACTTCTTCTGGAAATGTAAACAAACCTATAAAAACCCAGAGGCAATCCATTCCCCTCTCCTACCTACTCTGGTTATTTACATAGTTTTCCAAAATACAAAGTAGTTATGTACATTTTTGCTCTGCGAGGCAAACCATATGTTTTACTATTTTCCCTCGATACCTTTATTCCAAGATGAGTTATGTTCTTCATTAAGTGACACAACTACCAGCCAAATGCGCTGCGGATTGTCTTACCAGCTTCTGGGCGAGCCCTGGGGGAGCCCACTCATACGTGATGGTGTCGAAGGTGGGGTCTTTCCGAGAGACGATGGGGTTGGTGATGATCATGCGGTTCCTTTTGTAAATACGAATGCCGTCACCTCCTTTCACCCGGGCAGTGAGCGTGGCATACTTCGAGTCCGACAGCAGGCGCCCAATTTTCCGATCGTCCTCCACATCCGAGCTCAGGCTGTGGTCCTCCTGGCTGCATTTGCATGACTTGCAGATTTTCCTGTGGGTGACAGCGAGATAATCCTTTCGATGCGAGCTGGGCCACGGGAGGCATGCAATCATGCGATGGGCTCAGCCACTGAGCATCAGCCTCTTCCAAAGGTTAAATGCAGACTGGGGTTATGGCATAAAACAAAAGGCTCCTGCGGCCCGAGCTGTGCGTGGGAATTCAGCACAATGCATCCCAGAGGGGTCAGCAGCAACACAGAGCAGAAAGCTACAAACCCCTAAGTGCTGTCCCCAAGCGAAAGCAGCCGCAGGAGCACTGCTAGACTGCTGCCTCCCACCCGCCGCGGGGAGCTGCCGCTTTCCTTGAACTTTGAAAACCCCTTCAAGCATCACTAAGTCTCCCACCCTCACCAGTCTCCAACAGCTCAGCACTAGACTCACCTCTCACGAAGCTTTACATGCCATTAAAAGTGACTGCTAAAAGAGGAATTGGTACTTAAGTATCTATCATTTTAATTATAATAGCTATAAGTCATAAAGATAAGTCTAAGGCTTATAGACTGGCCAGCTTTTCCATCAAATGCTAATAGCAAAAGGACAAAGTAACTCTGACGCAACCCCAAGTATTTCAGCAGGATCCTGGAACAATTATGATTCAAACCAGCCTTTAATTTAGTAAAAAAAAAAGTATGATTCAGCCAAATGAGTGTTTTAAGTTTGGATTTCCACACAGCTGAGGTATTGAAATTGAGAACTGAAGGCTGCAGGACACAATTACATGCCACTATTGCAAAGCCTACTGAAGCACTTCAGCAGCACAGACAGCACAGCTGCAGACTGCAGGCTGCTGTGCACCACTGCAGCAGGACACAGCTGCACAGCCCACAGCAAACAGGAGTTCTCCAGGCTGACAGAAGAGAGTCTAGTGTTTTGCAAGACAGCCTCAGAGGGCATTAATTCTTTTTTAATTAATGACATCCAGATAGCTCCCTTCCATTTCAAAGCCCCCCTCTGTTTCTCCCATTTCAGTGTGCAAGCAGATAGGGCAGGGCAGCAGCTCATGGTCCCTGCCCAGAGCCGAACACACAGTACTGGTCAGCTCCCACCAGCTACTGATATTGGTGGCTATTTACCTAAATTAGTGTTTTTAAGAGGAAAAGCTGAGAGTGAAGTATCAAACACCAAGATGTTTCTGGCACTAAGCATAGCATTTCAGCCATCAGGGTGCTTGGGGCAGTCAGCAGGAACAGCCACCACAGCACTGCTGAGCGGGATGCAGCACCAAGCCCTTGCCAATGCGGCTTTGTTTAACCCCACCAGCTCTGTACCCACGCTTGCCCTCAAGGAGGGAGACAGCCAGGCACTCGGCACAACTCCAACAGTGCAGGATTATCCTTTTGGTCAGCATTTCCCTGCCTCCAAAGCAAGCAAGGACATGTTTGTTTTCACTAACTCATTTCCAAACAACCTGACAGGCTAGGAAGCCAGCACGCAGAGGATCCATGCAGGCAAAGGATACATGCTCCAGCACACATGCTGCGCAGGGCATTGGGTGCCTCGTGCCGAGCACAGTGTGCAGCAGCTTTGGCACTGTGCCCCCATCCCAACGTACCACTGAACAGCACCAGCCACAGAGGGCTGTGCTGGGGACGGTCCCATGGCAGGTGACCCTTCTGCAGGCTGGGCCATCTCTCACCCCAGCTTTCTCCTCTTCCCAAGCCACAGCTCGCTGCCAAGACCTGCACCCAACCTAGCAAAGATAGTCTCAACTCCCAGGGAGCAGGCAATGTTAGCAAAAGCAGAAAAAACCCACTGCATGAGAGCCTCAGCTTGGTTTAAGCAGTTATGGATGAGATTTTAATTCAAAAAAGTAAAAGAGAAGAACCAGTGAGGGAAGGGAGATGGAGAGCAGGCAGAGCAGGCAGCAGAGCATCTTCTCAACTCAGCAGTTATCCTATCCAGACAGTGCGTCCTCTCTGCACCTCCCAACACCACTCAAGTGCTCTGCAGTTCTTTGCGCTCAAAGTCACCAGAGTCCAAATATCGACAGGACCAAAGGGACAGCGTTGGGGCAGGGCCCATCAAGGCCAAGACATTACCTCCAAGAATGTGGCTCAAAGCCTGTGCACATCCCTCTGCAGCGTAAACAAGGCACACCTCTTCCTGACTGTGGCTGGCTCACCGACATCTGGAAAAGAACAGGACACCAGAGTTGGAAAGGCTTTATCCTCAAAGATCTTCTGAGACTAGAGTACCAATATTGAGTTTTGTCCTTCAGACATTGATTTCTTCAGCCATGCCTTATATTCTGTGAAGCCTCAAGCCTCCCAAATGCCATTTGACCACTGTCCATGCAGACCTGCTACAAGTTTATGCAGGGATGCTCGGGATGAAGGTTTTCACCTTAAAGTGAGCAAAGATGGCATGTCTGCGATGGTGTGGGGGAGATGGCACATCAAACACAGTGAACATGCACACACACTGGGCAGCCACCTTAATCTCATGCACAGAGGCCTTAGGTCTCATTAAAAGGTTATTTTGATTTAGCTTATATATTACATATGAATCTGTGCAAGTCAAATTTCATGCAGCGAGACATGGAGGTGCATTGCCATGACCTGATGCTAAACTTGCTTTACTGCAGCTTGGACCTCCTTGATCTTTCTACAGGGGCTCAAGTGTATTTTGGGAGTGTGGCGTGTTTCCACGCCCCTGGTGCTGGGTTTTATGGGTAGTTTCCACAGTGAACAGGAAACACGGCAGGGAAAGGCTCCAGGCAGGAAAGGCGGGGGGGGGGTGAAAGGGCTGTGGTTGTGCTGCGCTTTCTGCTGCTCACTGAAAACAGAAGAAAGTCACTTATATACATGGGTGCTCACTGCTGCATAGAGACAGTCCTAATAACCTCCCGACAGGAGAGAGACAAGTGCAAAAAACCACAACAGGAGCCAATAACATTAAAAATAAACCTTATTCTAGTGTCTACACCATGGATTTATCAAACATCGCTTTTTGAATGTGAAGAATGCAGGCAGGTACGATGGGAGACAAGAAGTACTGCAGGAAGCATCAGGGAGAAGTGACACCACAGGACGCTGAATTTATCTCAGCCTGATTGTTTTTTACAGAAACTCAGACTCCTGTCTGACAGACATTTGCTCCCTGCAAAAAATGGACTTCAGGAAAACAAGGACAGTCCCACCCCCAGGACACACACACCTGGCAGAAGCAATGGCAGCATCACAGGAGCTTCACCCCATCTCAGCAGAGCTGACCCTGTGCAGTCAGAGATTAAACTACAGGGTGGTCATCCACCTCCAAAAAAATACTTTCAGTCCTCAAGAAGCATTATAAAGTGTCAGTCTCTTGCAATTTTCTGACCACTTTGGACCTCACAGCCTGCATTCTCTGTTAAGGCTTGACACATACAGGTCTCATACCACCATGCCCTTTTTGGTGCTTGCTCCCATTCATCAGGTTTCTGTAGAAGATCTTTAATCCCTCTTGAAATACAAACTAGTTCTAGGCACTGACCCTTCATTTGTGCACAAACAGTTTCGGAGCCCATCAGAAGAACAGTTAAGGCTGCAGAGGTTTCTAATGCTGGAGAAGGGTGTTGCCTGCCTATGCAATCTTAATCTAGTCCATGTGTTTTTCTGTGTTATGAGAGTCTTTCATTACAAGATCATACACTATTTAAATCAATATTGTTACGCCGCCTCCTGCCCCAGCTCCTCATTTTCCTCGCCCAGCCCCAGCTCCTCTCCCCACTCAGCAGCCCGCAGCCCTCCTCATCCCCTGCACGCTGCTCCCCCTGCCCGCCCATCCTGCTGCCCCCCAGCAGCAAGGGCACAGCGCTCCCCCGCTTTACACGGGGATGGGCAGAGGCCATCCTTGCCAACACCCATTTTCAAATGGAGGCATCAATAGCAGTAAAAGAACAGAGGTTTTTAAAGTGAAGGTTTGGGAGAACGTGCTCAGTTCCTTCACTCTGCAGTGCTGTGGGTAGTTAAAAAAATAGATTCCTCTTTGAGGAGGCTCTGCAGGGACCCTGCATGGGCAGCCAGGCACTGCAGGCTTCGCTGGTGACCAGCCCTAAGCTCTGCCCAGCAGTGCTGGGCTCCGCAGCTCTGCTGGGAGGCAAAGCTGGTGACTGCGCTGGCAGCCGCTCCTTCCTCCTGCTCCCTCCCGGATCCACCCGTCCCGCTTCCAGGCTCCCCAAAGCTCCCGCACAGACCTGGGGCACCCCAAGGTCCCCTCCAACATTCAAACTCATATTCTGCAGCTTTCGAGAGGAAAAGGTTATTTGATGGCACTCAGTTAGGAAAGACATTTAATTTACTTGGAAAACCTGGTGTTGCTAATAAGGACGAAGCTTTTACAAGCAGATGGTTCTAGAAACAGCCAGACACTGGTTTGCCAATTTTAAAGGTAGACTACAAGCCTTTACATGCTTTTTTTTTTTACAGAACTATTAAGTCCCCATACAAGGTAGCTCATCCTTGAGAAACATGCAGCCCAAAGGGTACAGAGCAGCCCATTTCAGCTCACTTTGCCCAAGGGACTGCTATTTCATTTGTGACTCGGCTTTCACCTGTAGTTTTTACCTCATTTTTCACCTGCAGTCTTTCCAGATATTTTGAAGCCAGTGAAAAGACCTCTCACCCTGGGAATTCATAAAAATAAGTCTTAAAAATGATCTTAACATGCACACACACTCCCCCCTGCCTCTAATATCCAGAAAAATAGGACATTTGATTCTTCAGCTATGTGCCAGATCTCCAGAACAGATAGAGACATTTAAGTTTCCAGCACAGACCACTTACAATCTTGCCAGTTCTGGAACTGTGCACTAGATATCTACTAACTGATGGGTTTTTTTACTGACCCTGATCTTAATGAGTCAGACAGAAGCTGAGTGTAGGCAAGGGACTATGAATGGTTGTTTATTTAAAATACAAACATCTGGATTAAATAAACTCATTTGGAGAAGTTTCATTACATATGAGGGGAAAGCAAAGGGAAAAGTGTTGTCAGGAGTAAGAACCAGTATGTAACCCCCCAACAAGACAACCTGATGCTTCAGACTCCACGTGTCAGTGCAGGAACTCAGTCATTTGGGGGTGGCCACCAGCCTGTGACCTCCACAGATACATAAACCCAGCATTTCACTTTATTACTTCAGTGTTAACAAGACCCTTTCTGGGTCATTTATTCAGCCTGGTAATTTGTTCTACTTGTCAAATATGACTTCTGCTTCATGTCCCAGGTCCAATTTTACTCTTTACTCAATCTGAACCCCGTGGAAGTTCCCTACTCAATCAGTATTCTCCAGAACACCCTTGTACCTGCTCTCCAGAGCAGGCTGGCACTACCCATCACCCCAGTTAGCTGGAGGATCTGTGTCCAGGCTGCTGGATCTGTTTTAGACACCCACCCAACTCCAAATGCTGCCACACAATGGCTCGGGCATGACTGTCCATTGCCAAGGGCAGGGCGAGCATCCTAAAGCCTAACAGCTGGCACAGCTGGGATCAAACGGGTGGTGCCCCACACCACCGTGGGCCGAACAGCCAGCTTAGATGGATGTACAAGTCCCACAAGTGCTTCCAAACCGAGGGGCACCCTGCAGCACAGGCCATCTCTGTAAGGCTTACCGGACCAGCTGAAGTGGGGCAGGCTGCACCTTTCCACCTGCTGATCCAGCACAGCACCTCTGCCAGCACCCTGGGAACTGCTTTTGGACTTCTACTGTTGTCTTACCACGGTTACACATTTACTCAGCCCAAATACAGTAAAATGGATCACATTTAACACAGCAAAGTCTCAGCCCTTATCTTAAACTGCCATTATCATTTCACTTGAAGAACAAGCCCATTAGCATCAACAGGTGATCCTTGCCTTTGGGTTATACAACAAAAGCTGATCATCCATTTCCTTAACACAAAACTAAACAAGTCCTAGCCCTGATCTTTGGCCACATACAGCTTCAGACACGTGCTGAAGACCTAGTCACCAGCCCTCCCATTTGTGCACTGCTCTAGCCAGGACCAGACCACATGCCTTTGCAACCAGGAGCTCCAGTTCTCCTTGGAAACTCTTGTTTGCAGGTGTCAGTGGCATGACTCACTGCTCCTCACCATGCAAGCTAGCTGTGAGTCTGAAGCTATGGGAAAACATATGGGGGAAATGATGCAAAAATTGAGAGGCTCTTCAAGGCAACACATGGCTCCTGAGATGGCTTGTGTTTCCCTACCCTCGGAGGTACAGGTCTCCAGCAGGAGGGGAAGGTGCTGGGATGGCAGCTCATCTCCACCACTGCCTGCAGGGCAGCTCAGGTGGCCCCATGAAGTCACAGGGACATCCCTGTGGCACAGGCAGACCTCGCCAGGGCAGCAGGAGCAGCCTGGGCAAACAGACCTGAGCCCCCTCCACACGGGGACGGGGCACTTATCCACCGACTGCTGCATCGCCTTCCCCTGCGAGCCCAGACCCCTCGGGGCAGTGTCTCCTTGTGATGACTGGAAGCACAGCCACATCTCTGTATTTGGAGGACAGCGTTATTCCTCGCTCCCTCAGAAGTGGAGAGAGGTTTGAGCCACTCATTTCCATCCCTGTGCAGGGGCCAAACATAACAGGCGCCGCTGCCTGTTTTTTGGGCTGCCTGGTCAGCAGGACTTCCTGCCCAGATATGGAGCTTCTCCTCGCAGCTCCGCTCCGGCTCCTCAAATATGCATAAAAGGAGATTTCTTTAAAAAAAAAAAGAGACACATAAGACACTGCAAAAAACCCAAACCCAGTAAGATAATGCGAAACAAATGCTCCCCAACTATCTTAGATTCCACCTATGCCCAAGCCCATTTGGGAACAACAGTGTTAAACCAGGAGATACTAAAATTTAAGATAAAGAGTTTGAAGACATTTGTAATGCTTTTAAAAAAAGCCTGTGTCAACAAACTGCTTGGAAGAAAAGCAAATTCTGCTCACCATGACTAGATATACAATGCATTTTAAGATTTCTGTTTTGGCTTTTTTGTCTTATAGCATTCTTGCTATTAAAAGAGAGAAAGCAAGTCAGTGCGGAGGAAATTCTTAGGTAGTGAAATGATAGGAAATTGAGGCCATTCTACCCACAAAAATATCTCTGAACAATCCTAGGAATACGCCAGTAATACCATGGTTCACTGTTTTACTGGCCAAAGGCAGGGCCATCCAGACACTGGCAAGTTCGTTCAGTGGTTGGAAAGTAGAAAGCCTATAATGACAAGCGACAAGGAAAAAACCCAAACATGGCTCCATCTTGGTTTAGAGTTTGAGGACTCCTTTGGAGAAGAACACTGAGCTTCCAAGGCAGGTCTGACGAGATGGACCCCTGGTTAGAAGTTATGAGCAGGTCAGAGTCCAGCTCTACCAGCCTCCTCCATTTGTAACTCAGCTGAGACTTCAGAAGGTTTTTCTGGTGTATCATCACCCTCTGACCAGCCCAGCACACCTTGGCCAATGACCCTTTGCCAAAGGGTCTACTGAAGCTAGTTTGACAGTTGAGCTTGTTGTGAGGGGACTGTTCTCAATGGCACATGGAGAAAACACTGTTTTCACATCCACATGACTTGAAAATCCTTCCAAGAAGTGGAAGCTTCTTTCCACTCTCCTCACAACCAGTT